GGCGCGGGATTACAGGCTGAGCCACCAAGCCCGGCTTGAGCCTTGCTCTTTTGTCCAGGCTGGTCTCAAATTCCTGGACTCAAGTGATCCTCCTGCCTTGGCCTCCCCAAGTGCTAGGATTACAGGTGTGTGCCACTGTGCCTGGCACAATCATTTTTAAAAAAAAAAAATGATGAGACTGGTACAGCGGCTTTCAATTCTCCTCCCTGACTTGACAGAAGTCACTTTTAAAGTGTGACTTTGCTATGTTGATTCAGTCTGTCAGGGCAGAGGCCAGTATGGCTCAGCTGGGCCTCTCCTGGGTCCTGCAAGCCCATCTCAGAATCTGATGCTATTGACTATATCCTTTTTTTACAATCAACTTTTCTCTCTCAAGAGTTCCATTCTCTTTGTTTTTTAAAGGAGCTCAAATTAAAAACAGCAACAAACTATTCAATTCATCATCAGCCTCTTAATATTATCTGTTCTCCTTTTTCCTAGGAAATCTCTATAGAATTCTCTCTACCTGCTTACTGCATTTCTTCCCCTTCTAGTGGATTCCTCCATCCTGTCCACTTGGGCTTCCAGCCTCATCTCTCTCCTTTTGTTCAAGGTCATCCAGTGCCACTATGCTTACAAATATCGTGGGAACTTTTCGCCATCACCTTGCTGGGCTTCCAGCTGCTTTGGCCTAAGTTCTATGATGTAACAGGCCCCTGGTTGTTCTTTTTCTGACTGCACCTCTCTACAGTAGGTTGCTCACTCAGTGGTGAGCTCCTTAAGGCTCTATCCCAGGCCGCCTCCTCTCAAAGTCCTCACCCGTGCATCCGCTCGACAATGACTGTCATTTTCCCATTACTCTCTCCTTCTCTTTTAAAATTTTAACTGCTACTTTTTAAAAGACAGGATGTTGCTCTGTCACCCAGGCTGGAATACAGTGGCACAATTGTAGCTCACTGCAGCCTTGAACTTCTGGGCTCAAGTGATCCTCTCATCTCAACCTCCCGAGGAGCTGGGACTACAGCACACACCACTATACCTGGCTACTTTTTATATTTTATGTAGAAATAAGGTCTAGCTATATTGCCCAGGCTGGTCTTGAACTCTTGGTCTCAGCCTCCCAAAGTGCTCAGATTGCAGGCATGAGCCACTGCACCTGGCCTTCTCTCCCTCTCTAATGAATTATTTCCATCAGAGCGTGCACGCGCACACACACACATGCTTGCACGCACATGCACACACACATACACAAACATACACTGTAGTATGTCCAATACAGAAAACTACCCCCCACCTTTTCTCTAGATGACACTTTCTTTCTCTGCTCCCCGGTACTGGTAAGCATCTCCCCTTTATGGAAAGCTGTGTACGCGTATCTTGTCCTGTTTCCCCTTAGCTCTCTTCATTCGGGCACTGCTCTCACCAGGCCACTGAGTGCCCCTGATATCAGCAGTGATTTCTGTGTTGTCACTCCCAGTAATTCTGCCCTCATATGACAGATGAAAACTGTCAGCTTCTTGAAAGGCTCTTCCCACGTGGCTTCTCTGACCCCAGTTTTCGTCTCCTTTTTGTGCTCCCCTGCGGGTTGTGTCATTTTTCTCCTGTAGTGTTCTGCAGTCTGGCAGAGAACCACATTCACGCAGGACTTTCCCAAAGTGCCATAATCAAGACGTTCAACTTCTATAACAGAAATAGAACTAAACATGGAACTCTAGTTAACATATTTCACAGTTGCTGTTAATAGCTGGCAATTATCTTTAGTCTTAGCTACTCCTTGACTTTGTTCTAGATCTCCCTGCCAGTCCTTTAATACTGGCTGAGCACCGATAGTGCGCCAGGCCAGTGGCTCTGGCTCTGTATACTATCCAGGACTTCCGTGGCCCACGTGACATCTTTCCTCAAAGTCTCCCTTCATCTGATTTCTGCGTGCCACTGTCCTCCAGCTAGTAGGTGTCCAGTTGAGAGTTCACTGATGAACATCTTTCTTCATGTTCTCTCTTGTTCTGACTTTAATTAGAGTCCTGGATTGTATATAATTCAATTCTCTAAATTTAAAAATCTGCAAAGTGACTAGGAGATCAGATGTTCTTAAAAGGAGGGGGAAAAAAAAACAACTATGGTCATTTGAAAGAGTTAGAGATTAAATAGTCTAGACGAGAAGGGCATGCAGAGGGATAATGGGAAATGATTTTTGGGAGGGCAATCAGATGTCCAGTTCTCTAGGAGAGAGGATTCCCTCAGGTACATAGCTAGCCTCGTCTTAAAGGCATTTCAAATTTTGAATAAATAAAAGACAGATGTCAAATATTTTTTCCTAGAGATACAGTTTAATTGTAGCCCTATCTGAGGTTGAAGGATAGCACACAAAAGTCTCTCCTACAATTCTCTCTCTCTCTTTTTTTTAGAGACAGGATCTCACTCTTTCACTCAGGCTAGAATGCAGTGGCATGGTCACAGTTCACTGCAGCTTCTACCTCCTGGGCTCAAATAATCCTTCAACCTCAGCCTCTCAAGTAGCTGTGATGACAGGCATGAGCCACCATACCTGGCTAATTTTTTGGTAGAGGCAAGGTCTCACTGTGTTGCCCAGGCTGGTCTCAAACTCCTGGACTTAAGTGATCCTCCTGTCACAGCCTCACTGGGATTACAGGCATGAGTCACTGTGTCTAGCCTCTCCTACAATAATTGTCACTTATTTGTCTGCTCTGCCTATAGTGGTCCCATTCACTGCAGCAAGGGCCCTGGAGAGTTTTGTTTTCTCTCTTTATGCATTTAAGACCTCTAAGGATATCAGAAAATGATCAACGGAGCCAATTTGGAAAGCCTTAATTTCAAGATGAATAATATGAAAAATGGCATTTCTTTGGCAAAATAATATATTATGTGATTCTTGAGCCACAAAATCATTCCATAAACATAAAATTTATTAACTTAAATCCAAAGTGTGACATTTGATGCAAACCCAGGCCTGAAACAAACTTTGACATCTCAAAATTAGATGTCAAAGATAATAATGGATTGCAACACACTGATGAAGAAAAAGACACTGGTATTAAAGAAGGACCAAGTATGTTGATTTTAAACGTGAAACCACTTGGGAATTAAAAGCAAAAGCAAAACAAACAACAACAAAAAGCCCCACCAAACATGAAGTCCTCTCTTCATCTGAATACTTCTTAGAGAAAATCAAATTGCATCTCTAAGAATACTTAGAACATTGAAATAGCTTAAACATTATTTATAAGACACAGCCCAAACTATAACCAGAAGAAATTTATAGTAATAAATGTTTTCATTATTGAGCAAGACAATATAATAACCTAAACATTTCATCCCAAAAGGTTGTAAGGAGGAATAATAAAACACAAGGAAAGCAGGAAGGCGGCTTTAACAAAATCAACTCACGAAGTATCCATCAGAAAATAAGAATCTTAAGACTGGTCATTCTAAAGGCTGGTTTTTAAGTGAAATAGACACCCTTAAAAATAGATATAATCTGATGGCTCACACCTATAATCCTGGCACTTTGGGAGGCAGAGGTGAGAGGACTGCCTGAGTCCAAGGGTTCAAGACCAGCCTGGGCAACTTGGTGAAAACTTGTCCCTTCTCAAAAAAAAAAAAAGAAAGAAAAGATATAATCTGAACAAAGTGATAAAACACATGTAACAAGTACAAAGGAAAAAGTAGATAACCACAGTTAAAATTTCTTAAGTTATAGTAGGAGACTTCTAAATATAACTCTAGACTAATAAATTTGGGAATTTTGAAATTATTTTCTGGGAAGATATTAATAACAAAAGTAGACCCAAGAAAATGTAGAAAACCTGAATAATCATCATGAAAATTTTTTTTAAAATAACCCACCAGAATGTAATTTTTATGAGTAAGTCTTTTGAAAGTTTTAAGATAGCAATAATATGAGAATTACAAAATAAAAAGCCTTTTCGTTTATTTGACAAAATTAGAATAATCAGAATAAAGACGTAATGAAGATGAAAAAAATGAACATAATAGACCACTGTTTTCAACTAGGTAATAAGGCATTTGTGTAGTTTTTTTCCATCTCTCTAAACACATAGAGACAGCACAATTAGAACAGCAAAATCCAAAAACCATAGACTATATATACAACCATATTTTGTGATAAGGTATCACCATGTAAACCAAAATATGACCAGGTTGGGATAAAGCACTAGCTACAAATTCTGCATGGCATCAGAATATAAGAAAAAGGAGTAACAGATATAAGAGAGAGAGAAGCAATTAGGGTGTCTTTATAGACCTGAGAACACGAGAACCCCAAATTCCCAGCATGGACTCCCAGGCAAGCACAGCAGGCCAACCTGAGAAGAGCAACTGAGGCAGGGAGAGGTCATGTGTACTCTGTGTGAGAAATGAGCATGGAGACTGAAGGGGAGATGGCAGCGGGGCCCTAGAAACTCTCACAACTCACAAGCTGAAGTTCCTTCCAGGAAAACCAGGACACAGTAGACCTCACACTGAGAAGGCTGGGACAGTTGGGCAAAAAAAGGTAAAGTGAGATAAGGTACCCTTATTGATAAAGTGTGCCCCCCCAGCAGTTTCCCACTACTGCTAATTCCTTTTTTATAGTATTATGATAATTTTTCAGGGTCAGCTTATGAGTGAGAACATGTGGTACTCAGTTCTTTGTTTCT